TACAACCATTAAGCTTTGTCGGCCTCTCTATTGACCAGCCCGCCCAACGAACGAGTAATTATTAGATCACCTCGAGTCGGCTCTGGCCATCCGAGACATGCCTGACCACCTTCCAGGCTCTGAGTGCCTCCATGGGGGTGCCTCACATCCATCCGACCCCCTTTGTGGAGCACAACCACAAGCTTGGGGGTAATGCCATCACCACCCAGAGTCTGGACCAATCTTAGACTTGTGCCCCCTGGGAAACACAGGCCTACTAGTCCTTGAGGGTACTTGACCCACTACAAGAACTTGGGGTGCTTCCCTCAGACTGAAGCACAAATAGTGGTCTCTCTTAGTCGGCCAAACCAAGGGGACCCCAAGGCATAATCTAGACCGTCTCCCAATGGGTGTTCCATGCAAGGTAGAAAGGAGAACTTTATTGGTTGAAGGAGTAGGTTTGGAATAGGGTACAGGGTAAAGCAATATCAGAAAATCCCCTAGAGCAAAATGGCATGGTAGCCTTTGATCACACATCCGAGGTACTACAAGCTATACATCTAGTTAGATCTCAAGTAGCTTACTCACAAGTATCATCCAGAGGCTGGTGGAGATTCCCTCTGCAAGCAAGCAATTCACTGACCATGAGTTTCAAGAGAGAGAGCAAGTTTCAGATGGTCCAGTTTCTCTGAGAGTTATCATCTCCTCCTGGGCAGTCCTTAACTTATATAGATCTTATGACCTCATTTACTTGATCCAGTGAAGGCCAGCAACTGTTGTCTGCCAGCCAACCAATTTGAAATGCATCAATAGTTTCTGGGTAGACTGGCAGGATCTCTAGCCCTCTCCCAGTCATGATGACATTGCTTAGAACAATAGGGAGTTTAAGCCCCCACCCAGGCGTGTGAGGCCAGTCATGAAGGCAGAGGGAGCAGGCTTCCCCCCTCCCTCAATAATGGATCCAGTTCAGGTTAAAACTCAGGGTCACCTGAGGCCAGAGGTGTCTGCCTTCTGCAGTGACCATGGTAACCAAACTGTCAGATAGCACAGTTTGGGGAGAGACAGAGGTGGTATTCTGCCACACACTCCACCCCGTCTTCTAAGTTGTTGATGAAGATATTGAACAAAAATGGCTCCAGGGCTGAACTTGGGGCACTCCACTTAATACCAACTGCCAATTAGACATTGAGTCATTGATTACTACCCTCTAAGCCTGACAATCCTGCCAGTTTTCTATCCACTTTACAGCCCATTCACCCAACCCATACTTCCTTGCATGCAAGAATGTTATGGAAGATGGTATCAAAGGCCTTGGTAGTCAAGCTATATTGAATCCACTGCTCTCCACATTCATAGAACCAGTGATCTCATCATAGGAGGCAATTAGGTTAATCAGGCATGGCTTGTCCTTGGTGAATCCATGCTGACTGTTCCTAATCACCTTCTCCAAGTGGTTAAAAATTGATTCCTTGAGGACTTGCTTTATGATTTTTCCAGGGACTGGGGTGAAGCTGACCTGCCTGTAGTTCTCCAGATCCTCCTCCTTCTTCCCTTTCTTAAAGAAGAGTACTATATTTTCCTTCTTTCAATCACCTGTTACCTCTTCCAATGGCCATGTTTTGTTTTGTTTTTTAAATAATAGTCAGCAGCTCTGCAATCACATTGGCTAACTCCCTCAGCACTCTGGGGTGCATCATTTTGAGTGCCGTGGATTTATTCATATCCAACCTTTCTACATAATCCTCTTCTTGCTGACATACTTGTGGAAACCCTTCTTGTTACCTTTCCATATTGCTTGCCAGCTGTAACTCCAATTGCACTTTGGTAGAATTATCATACATCCTCTTTTTTGGCCACCTGCCCTCATGTTTGGGAGGGTTTTTAAAATGCAAGCAAATGTCTGGGTCTTTATTCTGCCTCTGCTTTCCAGGGGACTAGCACCTTGCCTGCTTGGGGCTGGGAGAAGCAGGCAAGGTGATTGGCTGTTGGGGGTTATGTCCTCTGCATGGGACCAGAAAGCTTCTTCCAGATAGTAGTGTCTCTGTGCATGCACACACACTATGGGAAGCAGGGCTTGGGGGGGGGGGCATAGTACCATGGGTCAGGAGTGAGGGGCACCAGCATGGCTGGTGTGACAGGGGCTTAGGAGTGAGGGGTACAGGCAGGCCATGGGCATATCACTGCCCCCCTCCAATCACATACCCATCCCCATAATCATATATACCTTCCCCCTCTCCTCCTCCCTGCTCCCCCACCTCCCCAACCAGTGTCCTCTTTTTTGATATTAGAAATATGGCAACCCTAGTTTGGCTTTCCTGACTTCATCCCTGCATGGCCAAGAAATACCTTTATATTCCTTCTTAATCATCTGTCAAAGTTTCCACTTGTTGTAAACTTCCATTTTGTGTTTTAGCTTACTGAAGAATTCCCTGCTAAGCCATCCTGGTCTTTTGCTGTACTCGGTAGTCTTTCTGTGCATTGGGAAGGTTCATTCCTTCACCCTCAATAAGGTTTTTTAAAAATACAGACAAAACTCTTGGACTCCTATCCCCTCCAGACTGGCCTCCCAGGGGATCTTGTGCACCAGTTCCCTGAGTTAGTCTAAGTCTGCTTTTCTGAATTGCAGGGTCTTTACTCTGCTGCTCTCCTTCCCTGTTGTTAAGCAGTGGGTCAAGAAGATCACAGCCCTTAGTTGGCTGTTCCAGCACTTGCACCAGGATGTTGTCCCCAACATACTACAAAAACTTCCTAGATTGTCTGTGTTCTCCTAGATTGCTATATTGCCCTTCCAGCAGATGTCAGGATGACTGAAGTCCCCAACGAGAACAGGGCCTCTGATTGGGAAACTTCCACTAGCTGTTTGAAGAAATCCTCATCTACCTCATCCTCCTGGTCTGGTGGTCTATAGCAGACACCCACCATGATGTCGCCCTTGGTGCTCTTCACTCTGACTCTAACCCAAAGACTCTCAAAAGGCCTATCTCCAGTTTTATACTGTACCTCTGGGGAACCACAGAGCTCTTTTACATAGTACAACTCCCCCTCCTCTTCTCCCCTGCTTGTCCTTCATGAACAATATATACCCTTTTGTGACAGTGTTCCAGTTATGCAAGCTATCCCACCAAGTCTCTGATATTCTGATATTCCAATAATGTCCTAGTTTCATGACTGTGAGGAATTTCAATTCTACCTACTTATTTCCCAGTCTCCATCCATTCATGTATAGACATCTGAGATAAATAGCTGATTGCCCTACTTTCTCAGGAAGAATGAGATGGCTTGCCCTGTTGCCCCTCCTGCTTGTGCTTCCTCCACATCATCTGCTTCCCAACTTGTCTCAGGGCTTTGATTTCCATCCCCCAGTGAACCTAATTTAAAGCCCTCCTCACTAGGTTAGCAAGCCTGTCTGGAAATTTAGGCAGGTAATCCCAAGCTTCCAAGGCCCAATGATGTTAACCCCAGAAAAAGGAATTCAAGGGTGCACAAGACTGGGCCACTGAAGTGTCTGCCCAGTACAACTGGAGAGCTTAAATCAAGCTACAGAAATTGATACTACCAAAGATTCAGCCACACACGTTGGTCACATTAGGTGCAACAAGGGTTGTGGACAGCTGACTGCTTGGCCATTGTGCTGCCACACACATGTTTCTAGTAGCACAAAGGCAATGCCTGTTTTCACCCTGAGAGAATGAGCTCCTCTTATAAAAATGAAGGATCCACCAGGAATAACAGCCAGGATGGGAGCTGCAGGGCATGCTGAGCAACAGCCATTCCTGTCCAGTTGCTCCTAGAGTGGTTGCCCCCATGACAAAGTGCCTGTGTTTCACTGTTGACTCTGATGCCGTGGGTGGTGCAGTTAGAGACTGCAGCTCTCCCTATGCCCACCTGCTTCTCACAGAATAGTCTCTGACTGTTTCATGTTACTTTCTTTCCAGAAACACCTCAGCACCAATCTCCAAGAGATGGGAGAGGCATGGTGCCCATTGTCATCTGCATTGTCCTGGGGGCTGTTCTCTGCCTGGTCCTGATCATTCTGGGGGGACAGACGCAAAGCACCAGGGCACTGCGCAGAGCTGAGACTCATTGGTCTGGCCATGGAAAAATAATGTGTAAACAATCAGCAGGTGAAGGGAGAGGCAATGGCAAAGCTGTGATGCAACCTAGGCCTGGAGGGTAATGAGATGTATAGCTGAGGAGGGGAGGATGCTGGAAGATCAGTGAGTGGGCAATTCAGTGTGCCTGTACAGTAAAGCCTTCCATCAGAAACCTGGCAATAGAAATGTACAGGACATCAAGTAAATATGGAGGCAAAGCTGACCTTAGTCCAGCTTAGAATTGCGGTCAGGACAAAGCAAAGATATCACTGGCATGAAAGAGTTTGGAAATATTGGGAAAAATATTATGTTGGGTTTGTATTGGGAGAACTGCTAGAAGCTCCACTTGTGGAAGTGTTCATGAACAGAGAGATCAGCGGGACAGAAAGTACTAGGAAAGAAAATTTCAGGAAAGCAGATTGCAAAGAAAGAGAAAGAGGCACAGAAAAAAAGGCTAGAAAAAAGGAAAGGTGGAAAAGGAAAAAAAAATCCTTACACTTTGCATGGTGAGGGGTGGCATTTGCCACCTTACTGCAATCAGAATCAATGTGTGTATTGTACCTGTGTGTGTGTGTGTGTGTTTGTGTATCTATATTTGTGACTATATTCACAGTTTTCCAATAGGTGACACTGAGGAATTGTCAGAAGCACTACAATGGGAATAGTAGAATAGAAGTTTTAAGCTAAATCTATGACAAAGTTTTGTGACAGGGCAGTGGCCCCTGGAACAGTCTCTACAGGGAAGTTGTTGAATAGGCTTGGGCAGTGTCACACTGGATATTGTTCTGTAGAGCAGAGAAGGAAGCAGAACTGTGCTGTAGGGCTCAGCTGAGCTCCAAAGGGAAGGGCTGGAGAACCCCTTAACATTTCCTGTCTTCACAGTTCCTATTTCCATGACCCTCTATGAAACCTGCCATTTGTTTTCAGATTCTGGAACATACTCAGGATCCATAACTGAAGCTGTGTATGAAGAGATTGATTATAAGAAGAAGAAAGACAAGCTTGAGATGTACAGTCACTCAGGTCTCTGTGCCCCATTGCTAATGCATAGCAAGAATCTGCAAGAATTTAATAAGGCACTTTCCATGCTCACTCAGATCTCTTTGCAGCATCCTGAGCCCTGGAAGGCTGCAAGTGCTGGGCCTAGGGTGAGAACAAGCTGTTACAGGAGCCTGTAAATGAGTTTCATTCCCAGCAGACACTCCACTTGTCCCAACTCTAGTATTCCTCTCCCTCTGTCCATGCTGCAGCCTAGGAACAGAGCTCAGCCACCAGTCCCTTCCTTAGGGTTCATGTGGATAACAAACCGTCTTTCACTTTCCAGTCCCCTATTCAGAGGACTCCATGATGGAGCTGCAGCATTACACTGAGAACAGTGAGGAAGAGAATGGCCCTGGATCAGCACAAGGTAATGGGGAAAGGCAAAGCCCAGAGATAGAGACCCAGACCAAGGACAGGAATTCAGTTTCCTGGGCATTTCCTGTCAATATTCCCTCTGTTTAGCACTCATGGGAGACAGAGGGACTGGGTCAGATTGAACAAGGTGTTCAATGACTTCCCTGAGAGCATCCTGATGGGAACGGGGGGTCAGATCCAAACACCATGAGGCATGAGAGTTATGGGCAGGGAATGGAGAAGGTAATAACATGCTGATCACCAAAGTATCTATCACTGAGAGACCCTAGATCAATGGCCAAGATCTTACTCTCCTGCCTCCCTTCTCTGAGTATGTAGCCCAAGTTACATTCTAGTCAACATGAGATAAAGGACTTGAAACTTGACTGTAGAGTGTGGTTTCATTGACGAGGATGAGTCAGGTGCTGAAGCTCCAGTCTTTCATATGTCCATGGTTACTTAAAACCACCAAAATCCTGACCATAATGAAATGCATGACCCCAGAATTATGGGATGCACTTGGGCAGGGCTGTATCCTTAGTTCTTAAGGAAGAACTGAAACTGGACCAAGTCCTGTTTTACTTCCTTTTCCACCTGGATAACTCCGAGAGTTTCCTTGTAATGCCATAGCAAACAGCTCTAGGTCCAAGACAGCAGGCATTTAGTGGGGAACTAGAAGCCTGGAAAAATGAACAAGTCCAAGGCAAGCTGAGTGTGGTATTTGTTCATACAGAGGAAACATATCCTGGGGATTACCAGCTGGATTATGATATCGTGGAGGAACCCGACTTAAGTGATGTCCCTGTGCCTCCAGACAGTCAAGGTGAGAAGCAAATCCACCTTCAGAGACAACATGACCCTGCTGTATTTTAAAGGAACCCTACCATTTTAAAGGGAAAGTTATTCTCTTCTGGTGTGGTCTCAATAGGTGCCAAGGTTTTGGTTCAGAGAGATGTTCCTGTATCACATTGAGATCAGCAGGACCTCACACTGCTCAGGTTCTCAGGGTCCAAGCAATGCGTAAACAAGTTTGATGAGAATTGGGTCTATAATACAATGCAGCCAAGTGTGCTAGTGTGTAAGAGGGCATCTTGGTACTATCACACCAATGTGCCCTGGCCTCAAAGGGCCTG